TGTTATTATATATACATATATATATATATATATATATATATATATATATATATATATATATTGTGTTTTTTTTTAACCAAAGTATTTGAATTGACATATTAAAATAGTTTTCTTAAAGAAATATATTTAAATATATATATATATATATATATATATATATATATATATATATATATATATATATATATATATATATATAATATTAACGCGGAATTTTTAAATAGTTGTTGTTTTTGATATATATGTCATGTTAAACAATTTTATCAAAGAGAATGTATTTCTGGATGGAAAAAACGGATATTCATTTTTTGGTCATTTTTTGCTAAATTTTTTTTTTTTACTTAAACACACACACACACACCACAATATATACACACACACACAAACACACACACATATATATATATATATATATATATAATTTCAACGTTCTTTATTTATTAGGTACCATCATTATAGATATGGACGTCATGAATTCAAAAAAATTTCCATAACCATAAATAAATCAGAATATTCAATGTGTTACTATTGTGTTCAACGATATAATGCAGGGATGTATGCTAACGCCGAAATATTCGGTCGATCCTTAAGGGCAAATAAGAGAAAAAAAAAATCTGCACAAATTCCATAACAATTCTTCATCAGTGTTATTGCCATTCACAAAGCGTATATCGTTTTTGTCCTTTTTGTCAAATGTTTCTGCGATGGAAAATATAAAATAAGTATATTGAATGAGAGAAACGAGGAAAAACGTTTTGCCTGTATCAACGACTTAATTCAAGATGGATTTTTCAAGAACAACATGTCTTTTTTTGTCTGATCAAGGAACCTATGGATTTTTAAATTTGAAAAACCAAACATCTCCGTTACAATAACAACCATTTTTATATACAATTTTGTTTGAAACATCTGAAAAAAACACATTACATTTAACAATAAACACCTTTACTGGATAAATATATATAATAAGTATAAATAATTATTAATAATATTATTATTATAGATATAGCAAGGAATTTAAGTGTATTTGAGAAAGAAAAGAGGAAATAGGAAAGTTGTCAAGATTTTATAAACATAACAAAGCACGCAAATTATTGTTTATTCTTCAAAAGTAGAATTTGTTTACATGTAAATAAATACTATTGACAAAATGACAAGTAAAAACCAGAAATGGTCTCGATAAAATTGCAACTACGATTCGTACGAAGATGCTAAGAAAACTGTACAGCCTGGGACAGGCAGATTTCCTTTGTTAAGAGGTGAAAAAACGACAGGACCCATGACATACCCCCTGATTCTTAAAAGACAGTGTAAGCTCTGCTTAATAATAATAATAACAATAATAATAATAATAATAATAATAATAATAATAATAAAATGAATATACCCACAAACATAACAAAGTAGCGAGATATGTACACTGGAAGATATGCAAAAAGTACAAAATCGAAACCAATGAGATATTGTATGAGCACCAAACAGACACAGTCACCCAAAATAACGATGTAACTATCCTCTGGGACATGTCAATTCAAACTGACATGGAAATAAAAGCCAACACAACTGATATTTTCATAAAAGACAAGAAATTCAGGAAGTATTGACATCTGAAAGAAACAGATCCATGAAAATTATCGAGAAATTCTCCAAATACAAGGATCTAGAGATCGAGATTAACAGGATGTGGGGAATGAAGACTGAATCTTTACCAATAGTAATCGGAGCTCTGGGCCTCGTCAGAAAAGGAATGGACAATTTTAGTAACAGTGTCGTAGCTAACATCAACATACAAGATAGCCAGAAGATCACCTTACTAGGGACATCCCATATACTAAGAAAATTGCTATCAATTAAATGACAAATCTCGTATAGGACCTAAGGACCATAGTTTGGAACGGATCTACAGGATACAAAGCAGGAAACATCACATACACAAATAATAATAATAATAATAATAATAATAATAATAATAATAATAATAATAATAACAGAAATAAAGAAAACAATATTAAGAGTAACGTTGACGCTGGTAAAATATGAAGTAAATTAATTCTTCATTTATGAATCATGAAAAATCATAGCTCTCCACAACTTCCTATATGTTGTATCTTTGGCATCCATTTACACAGACATGTTTGGCAGGTTACTCAATGTTTTTCGCTTTGTCACTCTTGTATTTAAATTTTCCTGTGAGTATCAAATTACCCTGATCCTCATTCTTAATTAAGTGTCGAGAAATTTCAAATGTCTCGCTTTTATTCTAAACAACTGTCTTCCTTCTTATTTTCCTTAAAACTTCCTAATTGCTCTCTGTTGAAGCTTAAATAAGCATGGAATAATACAACACAAAATGTACGTTAACAAAATGTATTGAAACAAAGAATAGGTACACAATATTTACAGTTAGTTTGGTATATTCTTGGGAAGACTGTTCCTGCATAATGGGTTGACTAAATCGCAGTCGGGCAGAGTCTCTGGATTCAATTTCTTAATCTCTACTATCTTCCCCGTCTTCCGGTACCAACCCATATTTATATGGTCGGTAGTCCGCTTATGTAAATTAGGTGTATCATACACAACACTCTCATTCTTCGTATATGCTAATCTCAGCATCCTTCTGTAGAGCCATATTTATGTTGTCTTAAGTCCGTGTTTCATCTGTAACGAGATTGTTAACCATGCACTGCAATATAGGGTGATAGGCACCGTGAGGTAACGGATAGTGGCTCGGACTGTAGAATCGGAGAGCCGAGTTCGAATTCCAGTTGAATCCATTACATTCACGTACGTGCTGATACACTTGGGAAAGATATGAATCCTCTTCTTCTCCCCCACCTCAGCTATGGGTAAATCGCAGGACAGGACCGGTTCGGTAGCCTTAGATGGCAACTGGTCTACCACAGAAAGAAACGGCAACCTACTGCGGGAAAAACAGCCTCGTCAGTCATGTATCGAAAGATACAAGATTGCCTACGAGTGATCACGTATGGCACATAACTGACTGCGTTTACATAATAATACAAAACTTTGTTTCTAATGAAATTTTCACGTTTCTTAATAATTTGTTTAGATTTTAGAAGATATATTTGGCTATTATTGATGTGTTGGTTGATCTTTTTAGTGATATATCAACACCTCTATGCCGAAATCTAAATATTTCGTATATAATTTTATACTTTCAGGGTAAAAGTATGTTTTCTTTGATACCTATATAGTTTGCAGATCAGAAAATGTATTGTCGGAAATTTTTCCATGAAAATGTATTTTCATATTTTTTTAGTGTTGCATCGATTGCCATATTGTTATAAAAATGTACTGTTGATTTATGTTTGGGGGTTTACTATTTGCCTATAGTTGGGGCCCCCTTAGATTCTAACACCTCGGGTCATGGTTAAGTGGTGGTTCCACGCTCCTCAAAATCGGCCAGAGGTCTTGCTGCCTGATGTACTTTATTGTCACTCTTTATTGTGCCTTTAAACTCCTGTGTCACATCTTCCGTTCTCTGAAAAATATTTCCTTGGTATTTAAACTTCTGTACCGGCTCGATTTTACACTATTTACATTATCTGGACTATATACCTCATCTTTGTCGCCATATTTATCACAACGTTTCGGCCGTTGTACGCTCCGGCCTTCTTCAGGATGTTGAACTGAAACCTTTATTTCGCTCGCTGGGATAGATTGTTCTAATTCCACGTGCCATGTCTAATGGATGTCAGTTATCAGTTATTTCCTGTTAATTCAACTCTCTAAGTTCTCCCCTGCCTTACCCAGTTATTGAACTCACGGCGTAAGTTAGATCCAGTGACAGGACCCAAAGAGTGTGAGTTCAATACCTGGTTAAGGTGGTGGAGAACTTGGAGAGGGGAATTAACAGGCGATAACTGATAACTGATTTCCATTAAAACATGGCACGTGGAACTAGCACAGCCTACCCAAGCGAGCGAAATAAAGGATTCATTTCGATATTCCAACCACCTGAAGAAGGCCGGAGCGTACAACGGCCGAAACATTGTGATAAATATGGCGACAAAGATGAGGATAATAGCCTGAATAATGTAAATGTCAGAATAATGTAAATAGTGTACATAATACCTCATCTCAGAAATATAGACAGATATTGTAGCTCAAATGCTGTGTTTTCAATTTTGGTAAAGGCCATATACTTTCTTTCTTCTTAGGATAGTTAGTTCTTTTTTCTCGCCCTCCTTTAACTTCTTGTCCAGGATAACCCTGTAGTTTATTTTCTGTCTCAGCCATATACACGCTTTCGATACATGACTGACGAGGCATTTTTCCCGCAGTGGTTTGCCATCTTAGGCTATAGAACCCGGTCTGTCCTGTTATTTATTTGGTGGGAGGAGAAGAGGAGGATTCATACCTTTCCCAACGTTATTATCACGTAAGCGAATGTAATGGATTCGACTGGAATTCGAACTCGGCTCTCCGATTCCTCAATCTGCTATCCATTACCCCCCGGTGCCTTCTAGGAAGCCGACATGGAAGATAAACTATAGGATTATCTTGTTATAAGGTTTGCTGCAAAATAATCTCAATCAAAATATTACTTAATATAATAAATACTAATTTTGAGAGTCTGATTATCACTGGCTGTTCCAGACTTGCAGACAAGAACTACATTAGGCTAAACTTATAAACACTCTACTTAACCACAAAAGGATTAAACCCCACCCTAGTCGATTGTGCCGAGAATTTTTTGCGCCCACCCTAGGCGCTTTAAATTTGCCATCCTGTGCCACACAGATAAGAGTCATAAATAAATGAATCGGCGCTTCTCTGTGAATAACAATTAGCAGGTTATACTCATTATTCACTGGAGAGCTCAAATGTGGGAATAAATTTATCGGCCATCATGCCTTAATACAGTGGTTAGCAAGCTGGTCTCTTGGACTAATAAAATTATAGTGAGTTAGATCCTCACTGTGTGTTACAGACTTTATTTATTGTACCAAGTTAAGCTCGGTAAATATCAAGTATTTTTAATAATAATAATAATAATAATAATAATAATAATAATAATAAGAAGAAGAAGAAGAAGAAGAAGAGGAGGAGGAGGAGGAAGAAGGAAGGAAGGAAGGAATAGGGAGACACAGAGAGTGAGAAAAGATGAAGTGGATGTGAAATCCAGAGTAAATGGATGTCTGATGAGAAAGAGAAGAGACAGAAGAATTAGGAAGCGTCGTTTACGTCAGTGTTGAAGAAGAAGAAGAAGAAGAACAACAACAACAACAGCAGCAGCAGCAGCAAGAAAGCAAGGAGTAGGAGAAGGATGACAACAAACATAAGGTTGTAGACAAATTTGGAAAAATTAAGAAAATAATGTGGAAAAAGAGGATGAAGACAAAAAGACGAAGATGATGAGGAGAATAAGAGCAAGGGGACGGAGAAAGAGGGAGAAAGAGGATGAAGAAGAGTTGGTAGAGCAGGAGAAGTAGGAAGAAGAAGAAGAAGAAGAAGAAATAAATGCAATACTTTAATCGTGAAAACACAGCCAGATAATAATATTGATGTTCATCTTCATAACATTTGCTTCGTACTAAAAACTAAAAAAATACCTTCAATGATAATTGTGATAATGCTGCTGCTGATGATTATTCTCAGTTCAATAATAAACCAATCAGTAACTTTACGATTACTACAGATAATGTTAATAACAGCCGAAAGGCATATACAGCTCAGATGTCAAATTAAACTGAACCAATACTAGTTATATTGACATGAAAAAAATAAAACTTTCAGGGAGGAAGGATATTGTAGGAAAGGGTTAGCCAGTTCTGCCATATTTTATAACAAATACGTTCCGGAATATCAAGGACAATGTAAGTAACCCTAGAGGCTTTTTGAAGAGAGATAAAGCTGAAGGGAGGAAGAAAAGGTTCGACTCCAGGGTTGACGTAAAAGGTAGAAAATGTTGAGCAACAAAGACAAGCAAAATCATAAAAGAATGAAAAAAAATGTCTTATTTTGTGTTTGCTTCTTTGAGAAAGCCTCGCTTGAAATCTCTAATTTCTGTTTGTGAATCAGAAACCTTGTTTCTGGAGTGTGCAATGAGTCAGTGCCAAGTGTTATCTCCCCTAATTTTGATTGCCTAAGGCTGTTGAACAACAAGGGAGCTGATCCTTTGTTGTATTGGATTTAACATAAGCATTCAGCTTTTTGGGGGCCAGATTTCCTCGGGAAATTCCTAGGGTGAAAAGAAAACCAAAACAAATAAAAACTAAACAGCATAACCAGAAAACTGGAAGAGAATCAAGTCACCACGAAATGCCAAATAACCAAAATTCCACCGGACAATGAGAGATGATTTTGTCGAAGAAATTACTCCAGGCTTCTAAAATTAACGTGAAACCCGGGTTGGGGTTAGGGTTAAAATATGAAGATAAAAAATGGTCAGGCAAATATACGCCTGTAAAGTAAATGTAAAGTCAATTCTTATTCCGTTACTATTTTTAAGAAACCAACGCAGATTTACTTAAGTTTAGCAGAAGATTATACTTCCGGTGTACTCGTGGGGATCGGACCCACTTCAAAAGGAAACTGGTCGATGACACTAGCATGCTTAAAATTAGGACAGGGCAGGACATTAGAGACATGACGCGTGAGCCTGTATTAGTGAAAGTCACAAGTATATCGTGATTTATTAAGATGCTTAGATGCGACACAAGGCCGAAAATATGGAGCACCTACTGAGGATCGAATTCAGTACTCAGTTGTGATTGGTTTAGTAAGCCAATCTGTGTATCTGTTAACATGATAGATTTTAATACGTTTTAGATTCTCCTTTTTTTTTCGCATATGCAGATTAGGCCACCCAAAATATATCACTATACTTAAAAATACGCCAACGCAATGTGCAGATTAGCCTGACCCAAAACCACAGAAACGGCTCCCGTGTAAACCATACTCACACTATATTAGTGAACTTGTCTCAGAGACTGCTCTGTTAAAAATTACAAAACAGTAGTCGTTCAGTTCTCAAGATATGCTTTATAACCATTAACCACTAATAGAAAATATTTTTTCCGTTTTTCAGTCAACTGAAGATGGTGGGAGTGTCTATAGGTATTCATAGTTGGGATATGATCTTGAACAAAAAGCATTATCCTCTGCTAAGAGTTCTGAGAAATAAGACGCAAGATAAACCTTTTCAAAACAACTATGATTTGAAATTGAAATGAAAGAACTGACGACATGGACGCTAAATCTATCATAACAATTCAACATGTGGTATTACTAAACGCTTTAATTACGTCAGTGTATGGATCAGTTATAGCAAGTTTAGTACAGGAGAAAAGGGAACTGATCATAGCATAATCTGCATTCGGGGCAGTTTTGCAGGCGAATGCATATGGCTACAAAAACAAAACATTTAACAAAAAAAAAAAAAAAGTTATATTCTTAAATAGCCTTGTAGGATCTCGGATTTTATATGAATATCATGATTGCCACCACATCCGTTCAGAAATATCTTAACTCTTATATGTATACACGCGCTATCTCAGATCGTTGGCTCCATGTGGTCTTGACTGATTGAAGCCTGTAGACCTTAGTAAGTAATATTTTTTCCTACTTCGTGGACTGGTGCTACAGAATCACAAAGAAGTGTACTAAATAACAGAAATTACATCAGTTGAGAACAGCTTCAACTAAAACGGATGGCATATGTAAAACGGCGGGAAAATAATGACATAATCAAAATGATGACGTTCCACACTAAGTTAAACAAAATGTTTGGAAGGAATCTGAAAAGAGCAATAACAGTAATTTTGAAAAACATCTTTAATAGAAAGAGTTTATAAATGATTTAATATATTTTAGTAGGTTGTATTATTTAACTTTGCTTAAAGTTTGATAATTGTGCTTAGTTGTATGAAAGAACAGTTAAATATTTCTTTTGTATTATTTTCATCGGTTTATGTTTAATATACTCCTTAACACTGGTATTGTTTTAACCATTTTAGTTATGGTTGAATTATGGTTATGGTTGATTTTTTGTTTATATATGTGTTTTTTTTTGTTTTTTTTTGCGGGTTGGTGTTTATGTGCGAGCGTGGGAAATTATTTTAAAAATGCGGCCCCATACAGTAACAAAAGCATTGTGTTTGGAGGAAAAATTAACACGCATCGTATTCAAGGATCAAAACAACTTACTGAATAAGAGGAATTAAATAATAGAGGAATGTAGACATTTAAATAAGCATCTACTTCGCAACCTAAATATAGTATAAAAAGAAAAGAAAAAATACAACACGAAACGCAATCCCATCACAAACCACAATACCTAACATGTAATCTACACCTATCCCAAACACAATTAATCCAGAAACGAGTAATCTCAACATAAACAAATAATAACAAAATAAAACCCAATTATTCAAAACACGCACACAAAACACAACATGTAATTCACCACAGTTACATCCCTTGTAAAACGCAAAAGACACAAAAACTCGCTTCACAACATCCATAAAATTAACAGAATGATAACCAGCAAAATAAATGCCAATCCCACAAACACAAATAAATTATTACAACTACAACCTTTACAAAACGAAAAACACACAAACAATATATATATATATATATATATATATATATATATATATATAAAGATATTTTGTAGGTACAAAATTTAATGATCGAAATAAAAGTATAAAATTTAATATTACAAGACATATTAAACACGAAAAAAAAAAAAAAAAACAATCAC